GGGGGGGGGGGGGGGGTGGTCAGGGTTGAAAGTCTTTTGGCACAGGTGGACATGGTCGTCCTTGTCTGTCCGTCTTGTGGCTTCAGTTCTCCTACAACAGACTTCTGTCCAGAAAGCAGCGTCCTGTCGTTTGAGGATGTAAACACGTAGAGAGGCAGCGACGACCGCGACGCTCCAGTTACACCACAAGTTAGAGAGAGAGAGAGAGAGAGAGAGTGTGTGTGTGTGTGTGAGATGAACGATACAGCAAAGATTTACACGTCACACCACGTCACCAGTTATGATTCCAGCGTCTTCTTTTAAATGTTAGGATGAAGCTATTTACACTGTGTGTGTGTGTGTGTGTGTGTGTGTAATCTAACTGTACAAGTCTCAGGGTCAGGGGTGAAGTAACTTTGTCCACTAGGGGTCAGCATGGGCAGACATAGGGAGAGAAGAAGGAGAAACTAGAAACAGCCTTCAGTTGCTGAGGATTGTGGGTAATCCAGCTGCTTTTTCACTGCAGTAGTAGAATAAGGAGCTCTTGATGTGAAGAAGAGGAGGGGGAGGAGGTCAAGGAGGTCAAGGAGGAGGTCAAGGGGGAGGAGGAGGTTGAATCGCTGTTCTTTATCTGAACTCATCTGCCTTTGAACGGCTGTAGAAGTGACGAAGAGGAAGTGACGAAGAGGAAGTGACGAAGAGGAAGTGACGAAGAGGAAGTTGCCTTTTTAAAGTGTAGTCTTTGACTGAGGTTAGTGGTTGGAGTTTTGTTTGTTTGCCGTCGCCCAGTGTTAGTGGACCTGGGAACACTGGGAACACTGGGCTCCAGGTGGCGCTGTGGCTGTGGAGCTGGAGGTTTGGTCTGTGCTGTGTCTGATCTTGTTGGCTGTGAGAACTGTAGTCGGGCAGTGGCTCTGGCGTCTAGTGGACAGAGGACTGTGGTCGGGCAGTGGGGTGAGGTCGGCTCGCCGGGTCCAGTTGTTCATTAGGAACAGAGCGTCGGTTCTGGTCTGGTCGGTTGGTGGCCAAATACTTGGCTCTCATACTAGAGGTGTACTGAAGTTTGGGAGTGAAGAGATATCAAGAACAAATAATGAGAAAAAACGTTCTGTTGTCAAATCTGAGTTCACAAAAAATAATAATTTAAAGAAGAAATCCAGGAGTTTTCATCATCGCACACTTTTGTTACAAACAAATGAGAGGTTTATGCTCAAAGTATCAATACAAATGCTGTGCAACATTTACTACTACTATTATGAGGTATATATTAAAGTTGAACACAGGTTATTGACACTGTGTCCAGGAACCTGGAACTGTTGAGCACTGATCTGATGAGGAGTCAAAGTCCAGCAAAATCAGGAAATACTTTGAACTGATCAAAGTAATAAAAACCTGGTCAACTTCAACCAAATATTTATTTATATTTTTACAGTGACTTCAGATTTCACAGCTGGATTTCCACAGTACATTATAACACTAGCTAGAGCAATCAAGCTAGATCTCACTAGACACTAGACGCTTAACAAGACACTTAGAAACAAGCTAGCTCCTCAGGTAGACAATATGATAGCTATATAGCTAACTAGCAGGCAAGCTAGCTAGGTAGCTATCTACCTAGCTTAGCAGACAGACAGATTAATGTAGCTAGATATTTAGCTAGCTAGCCAGGTAGATAATTAGATATGTAGCTACAGTAACTAGGAAGCTAGCCAGGTAGACAGACAGGGGGGGGGGGGGGGGGGGGGGACAGTCATTTGACAGCTGGGACTCAGGTGTTATCACTGCTCTGTGACAGATGTCAGAAGTTAGTGCTCTAGTTCTGATGTAGGAGGTTAGCCTGGTATGAGTTAGTGGTTTCTGACAGCAGCTTGGTTTGTGGAGGTCTGTGGAGGTTTGTGGTTACTGCAGACAACAGGAGGCGCTACAGTCGCACCGTGGAGGTGGAGGAAAAACATGTGCTCCAGTGACTGCATTGATGGTAAAGGGGGAGGGGGCACAGAAACAGAGGACACACACTTTGACTAAAGAATGTATATGTAG